ATATATAAATTTAAAAATTGATTATATATATAATTAGTTTCTAAATTCATATATTAATATTTAATAAGATAAATTTTTAAATTTTAATTAAATGAGACAATTTAAACTCTAATTTTTTTAAAGTATAGACTTAGATGCACTATTCTCTTTTATTTATTTATAAATTTCATTTTTTTATAGATAATTATTTAGAGAACTTGGCAAACTAAGTCAAGACATTCAATAACCACTACAAAAAGAGTGAGATATAACATCAATCTTATTTAAGTTTTATTCATCATGTAATTGGCATTAAAAATATTAAAATGCTCATATTTTCTTTTTAAATTAATTTTTTAATATATCTAATAATAAATTATACAAAAATAAAAAAAACGCTCTATTTTTATCAAATGTCTCCTTACTCAACAAAAGGGTGAACATGAGATATTCATATATCTTAAAGCACTTTTCCGAGTTATTTATAAACTATACTTTCATGTTCTGTATTTATAAACTGATTTATTGAAACTACTTTTAGAGTATAATTAATTATTACTATAATTAGCATAATTTTTACTCTGTCCAAGTGAAACACGCGTGATAGCTTCAGTACGGATCTAATTCCGCAGAAAAAAAAAAAAATAAAGAAAAAAAAAAGGGGAAAAAAAAATCATTTTCATCATCCCATGAACACAGATTCACAGACAAACCTCAGATCCTTGGATCCTCCTCTCCTTATCATTCCCTTCTTCTTCAACAACATCCATATCTCTCTTCACAGACAACCCTCATGGAATATTCGCTCATACACACACACACACACACACTGTCCTTTCATCGTCTACATCTGTCCCTCAGCGTTGTCTTGATTGAAAGCTAAGTCTCTCTGACAAAGGAGAGAAAAACTCCCAATTGTCAATGCAAGACAAGAACAATTCCCACATGAATGTTCCTTCATAACCCTGCAAATTCCATGCCTCTGCTTTCTGGGTTTGCAGTTGCACTTTGTTTACCAATGCCACTCGATCCATCTGGGTCATGTACCAGCTGAATGTCCAGGTCCGGTTGTGTTCTGGTGCAATGTGGGTCCAATCTGTTGCTCAGTTGCACGAAAGGTGGTGTCTTTTGGCTTGAGTGATTGATTTCCATTCCGTTTTTGAAGAACCATGGCGCTTTTCAGGAAGTTCTTTTATCGAAAGCCCCCTGATGGGCTTCTGGAGATATCCGAGAGAGTCTATGGTAGGCTCTGTTTCTTCTGTTTTGCTCCATATTGTTTCTCACATTTCGATTTCACTCAAAATCTGGAAATTTTCGTATTCTTAAAAAACTTTATTGCAAGGATTCATCAATTAAGTTATTGGGTAGCTAGTATAGTAATAGAAAGTATGGTTGGCTTGACATTTGTGCTATAATTGCTTGTTTTAATGGTCTTATTTATGGTCCTACTTTAATTAAATGCGCATTTGCAGTCTTTGATTGCTGCTTTACCATGGATATTTTGGAAGATGAAGACTATAAAGTCTACATGGGAGGAATAGTTGGTCAACTCCGTGATCATTTTCCTGATGCTTCATACATGGTGTTTAACTTCAGAGAAGGAGAGCACCAGAGCCAGATTGCTAATATATTGTGTGAGTATGACATGACTGTAATGGACTATCCTCGTCAGTATGAAGGTTGCCCATTACTCAGCATGGAAATGATCCATCATTTCTTGAGATCAAGTGAAAGCTGGTTCACACTAGCAACACAAAATGTAATCTTAATGCATTGTGAACAAGGTGGGTGGCCTGTTTTGGCCTTTATGCTTGCTGCTCTCTTGATATATAGGAAGCAATTCACAGGGGAGCAGAAAACGTTAGGCATGATCTATAAGCAGGCACCTCGAGAACTTTTGCAGCTCATGTCTCCACTGAATCCATTACCCTCTCAACTAAGGTACCTTCAATATGTCTCGAGGAGAAATTTGGGCTCAGAATGGCCCCCATTGGACCGGGCACTTACTTTAGACTGTATTATTCTAAGATCTATTCCTAATATGGATGGAGAAGGGGGCTGCCGTCCAATTTTTAGAATATATGGGCAGGATCCTTTCATGGCTGCTGATAGGAGTGCCAAAGTTCTGTTTTCAACACCAAAGAGGAGCAAACTTGTCCGGTATTACAAGCAGGTAGCTCTATAGTTTGTATTTATGGTATCTGTTATGATAAGGCTTTGATGGTTGGAGGAGGGTTTTGTCCCTTCCCTGCTAAAAACAAGTACCTTAGGAATTACCCTTCCATCTCCAATTTAAAATTTAATATATGCTTTACCTAATTTTCATATATCATTTATATTTAAATTCCTCTTTTTTCTTGCAGTCAGATTGTGAACTACTAAAAATTGATATCCACTGCCACGTTCAAGGAGATGTTGTGCTGGAGTGTGTTAGCCTGGATAGTGATCAGGAGAGGGAATCAATGATGTTCCGTGTCATGTTCAATACAGCCTTTATAAGATCAAATATTTTGATGCTTAACCGTGAGGAAATTGACATCTTATGGAATGCTAAGGACCAGTTTCTGAAAGACTTTAGAGCAGAGGTATCTATCTTCCCCTTTTTCTTCCATATATTTGTTATTTTCTTGTGTTGTAAGGAATTTATTCTGTTCATAGATTATTCATATTTCAAGTTTGGATGAAGGTTATTTTCTCAGAGATGGATGCTCCAACTTCTATCATTTCATTTGATACATTGGGTATAGAAGACAAAGATGGTCTCCCTGAGGAAGCTTTTGATAAAGTTCAAGAGTTTTTCAGCAATGTTGATTGGCTAGATCAGAAGACAGATATAGCAAATATGCTTCATCATATCTCAGTATCAAATATGCTGCAAGAAAATTTTGATTCGGGGTCTCCCAGGAGTGGGGGCAGAGCCAATTTGTTTGAATCAGCTCTTGAGAAAGTTAAAGACATATCAAAATTTAAGGCATTAGAAGTCACAAGTCCTAAATTTGCTTCTTTGGGAAAACAATCTTCACCCTCTTTTAGACAATCTGTGGATTCAACTAAAGTGAAGATTGAGCCCCAAGAACTTGAGGTTACTCCTGAACAACATGCCCTACCAATGCCCTCTACTAAACCATCCATGGATTCCCATTCAATTGGAAACAAGGCTGAATCCTGGGAACTACAGGTTACTCTTGAGCGGCCTGCAGAGCCTAAATCCTCTCTTAAACCATCCTCAGATGAAAATGCAATAAAAGAGAAAATTGAGCCTCAGGAACTTCAGGTTACTCTTCAGCAGTCTCCACAATCTAAGATCATATCCCAGCGTGTACCTCATGCTTCAAAATCTGCTCCAGTTACCCTTGGCATTACAGCTTTATTGCAGGATCACGCTGTATCTAAAAGTGAAGAAGGCATCCATGCAGTTACATTACCTCTAACTTCCTCAGCTTTGACGCCTCCTTTGATGAACATATCTCAACCTCTCCTGCAGCAGAGTCATCTGTCTACACCACCACCACCACAACCACCACCCTTTCAACCTTGCACTCAATCTTTTACTGAGGCTCCTAAAATAAAGGAAGCTTCTGCAACACACCATCCTCCTCCTCCACCTCCTCCTCAAGCGACCACAGTAGCAACCTATGCCCAACTACCTGGAATTGCATCACTGGTTACGGATCAGTCACCATCTGTTCCATCTCCCCCCACATTGTCTGTAGTAAGGTCATCCTCTGCAATCAAAACCTCCCATTCAGCTCCACTTCCTCCTTCCCCTCCTCCAATCCCTTCTTTTTCAGGGCCATCGCCATCTCCTGTGGTCAAGAACTCATTCCAGTCTCCCCCTCCCCCTCCTCCACCATTCCTTTCTTTTAAAGGGGCACTTCCATCCCCCACAGTCAAGAACTCAATTGAATGTCCACTTCCCCTGTCTCCTCCCCCACCCCCTCCACCACCCCCTGCTATTGCATCAACTACTTCAGTTTATTCTCCACCGCAGGTTGGAATGCCTCCTCCACCACCTCCACTTCCTGTACACTCTTCATCTGTCTTGTCCACTTCTAGTGTATCTTCAGCACCACCACCACCACCTCCACTCGGGCTTAGTTCAAGGGGTTCTTTGTCAAATAATTTAGCACATGTTCCGCCTGTACCTCCTCCTCCAGTGCCTTGTGCCAAAGGATTATCAAGAGCTGGAAGTGTCTCTCCACAATCACATTCCGGAAGCAATGGTGATGTACCTCCAATTCCTGGACCTCCTTCTGTACGGGGTTTATCACGCACAGTTCCTAAAGGCCAGTCTCAACATAAAAAGGCCAACCTGAAACCATATCATTGGTTAAAGTTGACAAGGGCCATGCAAGGGAGCCTATGGGCTGAGGCACAAAAACCTGAGGAAGCTTCCAAGTATGCATCATTGTCCATATATCATGAAACTATTTCATTCATATAGTTCAATAGGTATACTTTATTGGTCTGATTTTATTTTCTGTGCTAGGGCTCCACAATTTGACATGTCAGAACTTGAGAGTCTTTTCTCAGCAGCTGCACCAAGTTCAGAAAAATCAAAGCGGGCCCCAGGCCCCAAGTCAGAGAAAATCCAGCTGGTAACTAGTGTACTATCTTTTTTTATTGTTTCACCCTATTTTTGTTCTCTTGATTGTGCTGAGTCTAGGTTAGGAATGTCTTAAGGTGTCAACAGTTGATATAATTGGTTCTGGCTGGTAATTCTCCATAATCATTTGTTTCAGGTTAGACTTTAGTATCTAGAAGATACTGGGTTATTTATGGGTTATCTTATGGCTGTGGTTTTATTTTTGTAGGTGAATGCTTTAGATTTTTCATTCATCTAAAGGACCTCAAATTAGGTGTAAGCATTATTATTAGATTTAGAAAAATGTCAAATGTCTTATTACTCATAGGACACAGTGAAAACAAAGAGCTAAACTGTTGCTGCTTATTGAGCAATAGCTGAAATGGTAAAGTGGTTATATTCAGAAGGAAGCTTGGATAGATTTTTTTGTTTGTTTATGGTTCATAACTTACTAAGTAAAGAAATTTATAAACTCATGATGCATGTTCCTCAATTTCAAATTTTAATGCATTAATCTTCTTTATTGTTTGCTCATCCTTGTGACTTTCTGATAGGATCTTAGGATGTTATCCAAAAACAAAATGAATGTGGACTTGGTTAATCATAAAAAATTTGTTTTCCTCCCTTTTCTCCAATTTGAATCTAAAAATCTTGTTGCCTTATGCTTTGATGCAAGTGATGCTAACATTTGTCAGTTTTGGTCTGGCAATTTCCTGTCTTCTTGATAAACTCTTTACAATCTAGGAGATACTGGTCTTTGTTTGCCATCTCATGAGGTATTTTTGGCATTGCAGATTGAGCTCAGGCGAGCATATAATTGCGAAATCATGCTTACAAAAGTCAAAATTCCTTTGCCTGATTTGATGGTAAGATAAAATATATGCCATTCTTCTGAAATAAAAATCTTCTTATTCATTTCAATGGTTAGTTATAATGTTAGGCTATGACTCAATTTACAAAGCTCTATGGCTTTCATGGTAACAAACTAAAACACTTGAGCCTTGTAGATATGCAAGGTTTTTTGCATATAATATATTTGGTGGGTCAGATTTATTCTGCTCATTGCTGTTCTCTTTTTTGACCACTTCAGGACCTGGCTAGCAAAATTGTCTTTAATGTTCCAGCTATCAGTTCAGAGATTGTAGCCCTAAATAGTCTTTATTTTTACATTCTTGCTTTGCTGCTGATATCTTGCAGAGTTCAGTCCTTGTCCTGGATGATTCAGCATTAGATATTGATCAGGTTGAAAACCTTATTAAATTTAGTCCAACAAAAGAAGAGATGGAATTACTCAAGGTATTGAAGATATGTTCTTATCTTTTCTGCATATCTCCTCCTCAGATACAATTTTGATATTTATGGAAGCTTTAAACTTCTTTTACATATTTGTATACTCCCCCTCCCAATACTCTTTCCTACCATTATGCCTCTTTGTACTTGATGCATCTCTTACATGCTTTCTATGTTCTGAGGCTTTCCATCTACTTTTCCTTCCCTGTTGTGCAAGTTTTAACTTCTAATATCATTGTGAGCAATTCTATAACTTGCCACCAACTATTTTACTAATGTTTAGCATATCATGAAATAAAATTGGTTAGTATATCACGTGATTTCTTTCCTGTTGATTGACAAGCTTTTTTTTCTTCAGGGTTACAATGGAGATAAGGAAAACTTGGGAAAATGCGAACAGGTTGCTGTTCCTTTTTTTTCCCGTCATTCAATTTCCTCAACAACTTAAAATTCTTTTTCTGGTTTGCATGTTTTAGCTATTATGACTTGAGAAAATGGCATAATATTGCCATTTTATCTTTCTAGTTAGTGAATCAACCATCAGAACAGAAGATATGCTAATTAGTATTCATTAGCTTGTTGCATAACTTTTTTAAGCTTTTCATTGGTATTGAATCCTTTGTCGGCAAGTAGCTGAATGAATATCCTTGTTACTCCATTTCATATTATATGCATTGACAGTTCTTCTTAGAATTGATGAAAGTGCCACGGGTGGAGTCAAAACTAAGAGTTTTCTCCTTCAAAATGCAGTTCAGTTCCCAGGTAAGAGGAAAACCCATTCCATTAAAATGTTCTTGTAGATGCTTCTCCCTCCTCCTTTTTTTTTTTTTAATCTTTTTCTTTTTTGTGGCTACTGAATTGGCACCATATTGCACCTCTTTTTATTTTTTATTTTTCAGGTTTCTGATCTTAGAAATAGTTTGAATATTGTCAACTCAGCATCTGAAGAGGCGAGTTCTCTTTGCCCTTCAACATTCTTTGTCTTCTTCATTATAGGATTATGTGATCATTATCTTATACCATTTTTACCAATGTTCTCATCAGGTTAGGAATTCAGTCAAGTTGAAAAGGATCATGCAAACTATTCTCTCTCTTGGAAATGCTTTGAACCATGGGACTGCAAGGGGTGAGTAACTTCATTGTTTTCTTAGTTGTTCTCATGCACCATCCAAAGACACTGAATTTAGGCAGAAAGAAGGTTGAAGGAAACATCTTTTACAACTGTTCTCTTCTTTGATGCTTAGATAACATTACTATGAGAACTGAAGCAACTCTATCACCTGGGATAAGCAGTTGGATTTAATTGTTTTCCTGTTATTCTTTTGAAAAAGCTATGGACTACTCTGTTATTTCATTAAGTTTTTGCTGTCACTTGGTAGGTTCTGCAATTGGATTTAGATTGGATAGTCTCCTCAAACTCACTGACACACGAGCCAGAAACAACAAGATGACTCTCATGCACTATCTCTGTAAGGTAGACCATCTGGCATTGTCAATTCCACAGATGCATCATCTATGCTAATCAACTTTGTGGCTTCTGAGCTAATAGGTGCTTTCTGAAAAGCTGCCAGAACTTCTAGATTTTCCAAAAGACCTTGTGAATTTGGAGGCTGCTACGAAGGTTGTTTTTCTCTTCTACTCTGTTTCTGAGAAAATATTTAACTTTAAGTATATATCCGTGTGGTGTATGTTGGGTCCATTATCTGCCACAAAACTAGAAGCTTCAAGCCAAGAAACACAATATCACAAGTTTTAAGACTGCCGCTTTAGCGAAAATTTTAGGGAGTGGGGATATCCAATTTAGATGGGATCTTAAATAAGTGACAATTACATCAATTTGACACATTCTGTACATGGTTGATTGCCAAGCAGATACAATTGAAATATTTGGCAGAGGAAATGCAAGCCATTAGTAAAGGGCTAGAGAAAGTTGTGCAAGAACTGACTGGCTCAGAAAATGACGGTCTAGTGTCTGATACATTTTGCAGGGTAATCCCTATTAACTGACATAATAGGCCTTGCTTTCCCCAAACTTCTCTTTGCTCAAATACATTTGACATGCTTTATATTGTCCTTGCTTGCTTCTACTTCTTTATCCTATTCATGCTCTTCCATGAATAATCACACTAATACATTATGGAAATGCTCAGAATTTAAAGGATTTCCTTAGTTTTGCCGAAGGTGAAGTCAGGTCCTTGGCGTCCCTTTATTCTAGTGTGGTATGTATCATTTTTTGTGGTCCAGGGGTTCTTTTAAACAATTCTCTTTCCTCATGACAATGACATGAAATATGCAAATTACTGAACATATTTCTGAAATTTGAATGTGTGCTTTAGGGTAGAAATGCAGACGCCTTGGCTCTTTATTTTGGGGAAGATCCAGCTCGCTGCCCATTTGAGCAAGGTACACGTTAATCTTAACAGGTTTATTAATGCTTATTGCCATTAGAAGCCTTCAGGGAAACCCTTTTCACAATCAACCCTACAACAGTAAGTTAAACCAAAAGAAATAAAAGATTGATGCCGTTTCCATTTGTTGCTGAATCATGATGTAACTAGATACCATGAATTATTGAATATAATATGCATACATGACTACCTTCAAGTGTGTTGCATAACATGCCCTTTGATTCTAAGCAATTAATTACTACATATTCTCTACTCTATTCATGCTGTCTTCTGAATTCTGTAGTGGTATCCACTCTCCTTAACTTTGTGAGGATGTTTGAACGAGCGTGTGATGAAAACTGCAAGCAGCTTGAACTTGAAAAGAAGAAAGCACAGAAGGAAGCAGAGAATGAGAAGCTAAAAATTAATACTCAAAGCAAGGAAGCAGAACAGTTGACACAGAATACCATGAAGAGTGCCAACGTTCAATGACTATTATATATAAGCATTCTTATCTGATTGACAAACCAAGGTGCCCTCTCCCATTTGGCTTCACAAGGAAAAAAGAAAAAAGAAAAATGAAAATCAGATTTGAGACAGCGCAGTTCTAAATGTACATCTCTGCAGTTGGTGAATCTTTAGCTTTCTGATGGGCATCTAACATGGTTTACTATTTGGAAGCAGAGAGGAGAGTTGATGAATTCCAGTTGGACTATCCACTTGTTAAATGTCTCTCTACAATTTTGTTTTAGAAAGGGTAGATTCTCTAGTAGTTTTATTTATTTTGTACGTAAATTCTGTAGTTGTAGGGATGTAAATGTGGATCAAACGTATATCTATCTTTACTGAAATAATTAGCACAATAAAATTTTGTTCCCACACACATTTTTGGGATTTTCTACCTTTTGCAAAACAATGATCCCTGTTACATGCAAAATTATCTTGTGCACAACAGAAACTACAACTGTCTTCAATTACGGTTCTCTTTCGGTTTGCAGCAATGGTGGTTTAGATTGTTCAGTGATCGACCTCGCAACCGCAGCAGCTATGGCTATGATAAAGTTAGGATCTTTTGCTAGGGATGTAACATGGTCCAACATTCTGTTCTCACCGCCATTGCTCCTATTTTCAACCTCGGCCCCTGAGAGATTAAGGTCCAAGGCCTTTCCCTTTGTCCTTGGCAGTCTGAATGGATTATCATCCATTACCGGAGGTGACAAAGATTTTCCCCGTAAGCAATATTGAACACCATGATTGTGTTCTCCTTCGTATGTTGCGACAAGAAACGACTTATCCTCCATGGATCTCTGAACCTAAAACTCAAAAAACATGAATTCAGCTGATCAACTAAATAATTAAACAAAGTTCATGAAGATGTATATCAGTTAAAAATTTAGAACACATACCTTCTTTTTAACTGGACATCCAAAGGGAGCCATGGAACATCTGTAATAAGCTCGAGGGGACGAGTTATCTTTGGTAACTTTCTGCCCATATTTTCTCCATTGAAATCCATCATTAACAATCTAAAATCATCATAAAATAATTACTTTCTCATGTGCGAAGATGAACAAAACAAGTAAAGAACTGAAGCATGCAGAAGAGAGAAATATTACTAGACTCTTGTCCTTAGGGTTTGTCTTGACAAAGATTTGGGAAGGCTTAGACATGGAAACCTCAGTTCTTGGTCTCTTGTTTGAGTCATTATTGTAGGAATCAAGATGCTGAACCAAGCTCATGTTTCCTCTAGTATAACTCAGTTCCTGTAAATGGGCTTGGAGGATGATGCACTGGTTGCTCACTGCTTCAAACAGGAACCTAAGCACTTCATTCTGTTTCTTTAGGTTCTCCAACTCTTCTCCAAGTGCTTCCACCTGAAAATGATTTCCAACCAGATCTTAATTACAACTAGTTCTATGAAGTTATATTAAAGAAAGAAAGAAGGCAGCGGCTTATTTACGTTATGTTGGTTACAGCTTTGAGAAGCCATGAAAATGGATTGAAAGAGCTAGCTAAAACTAATAACAAGACTGGTATATAAAGAAAAAAAAATGGTAGTTTATGTGATTGCCGTTTTGTTAACGGCAGCAAACAGTACCGCCAAAGACAAAAATCAATATTCAAAGTAGAGTTGGTGCGTCAGAAATTGAGAGGTCAAGCAGGAAATTACCATGTTCATGAAATGAAATCATACCTCACATTGTGGTAGGAAAACATGGCTGGACCAGGGGAGGTGTGGATATTGATCTTTTATAAAAAAAGTTGGGGGGTTATAATCTAGACTTTGGAAACACCAATCGTAAGCTTCATTACATCATATACTCGTCTTATGGCTCCACCACTTCCAAATGCTGACCAAGTGACCAAATTTGCAGACCAAAGTCCCTTTTCTTTTGGGTTTTTCCAGCTTCCTCAATTTTTTTTTTATCATGATTGGCGCACACACATTCGTCCCGTACTCTCGTTACATTTTTTTTTTTTTGTTAATTTTCACACTTTGTTAGTCTTCATTTCACTCTCATCATGTTCCCACCTTCTTCTTCTTCTTCTTCTTCTTTTTTCTCCCGGGTTCTCGAGAGAAGTTCCCACCTTCTTCTTCTTCTTCTTCTTTTTTTTTTTTTCTCCCGGGTTCTCGAGAGAACCCAGGGTAGGTTCTCTAGGAGAGCCCAGTTTGGGTTCTTGGAGAACCCAAGT